GGATCATCTCAGTGGAAATGGTTTTATTTGCACATCTGCAACTCCCCAGGCAGAGGCAGAAGACAGAGAGTGCAATGCCATCAAATGAGACATAAACTCTGTCATACTGCAAAATGTCAACTAAATTAATTCCTATTGTAAGACCCCTGCACATATCCCAAAAGGTAGAGGAGTGCTGTGTACACAAGACTAGAGAGACATCCATACACAGAAATTGCAGTGGAATTTCTGCACCACAGCAGGTCTGGAGAGAATACTATGTAAATAAGAGTTTAGTCAGCCTCTGCTTTCCATTGCAATCTTCAAGATATTTGTGCTGGTAGAGGGAATCTTTCCCTCTAAGCAATGCCTGCTTGATCCTATGGGACTTGTAATCTCCCAGTTTATAGCCCACTGCAATGAAAGGCATCTTGACCGTGCATCGACTTTGTTTAGATGTGACTTTCTGGCATGACTTTCCAATGCAAGAGCTGATATCAGGAGCTGTCAGACCCACAGTCCAGCAGGGACTGGGGTCTCCCATAAAGCATCACTGCAGTCTCCCCATTTTGTTGGGGCAGAGGGACCTGCTGGCCCCCCAGGTGCTGTGATGCTCAGAGCTACAGCCTAACATCACTCACCAAGGTCAGGTTGGGGTGGTGGACTCCACACTTCATTAAATGCTAAGGAGGCAGATATGTTTATGTATGTATACATAGAGGTATGCAAATATTTACAGACTCAAGAAGAGTGATGTACACATTATACACACAGTACTGTTGATATTATTACATACATTATGTACATTCATATCTATAACATAATGCAGTAGAAGATATATCGCTCTAAAAAAACCCCCAAATTTATGCACTTTAATTGCCAAACAAGACTATTGAAAGCAAGAAGGTTGTTTCATCTATTTCTGCCATTGCAGCTGGGTCCAGAGTAGGTGTCCAAATTCTGAGTTATAACCACAACTCTTGCAGAGAAAACAATCTCTTAAAATAATTCTGTTTCTCTACTTTGCACTTTGAAAGATATTTGGAAAGCAATTGCTCACTGTAAATCGCACAGAAGCTTCTGGAGTGGTTTCCTGTTGTGCAGCTTTTGTGCCTGTTGCATCATACCAGTCCTGTAAGCACCAGAAGAGCCAGCAATACTCATCTCAGCAGTGTCTTTCCATTTGAAGGGATGCATCCAAAAGTTCACCATAGAAGTGACATTGGCTCCAGCTGAGTGGCTGATTACCTCTCTGTAGCCTGCAGTGGCCATTAGTAGGCTTATAGACATATATGGCAAATAAGTAAAGAGCCAGGACCCAGAGAATTCACTCAGCCTCAAGGTTTTAAAGATCATGCTAGTTCTGCAGGTGCAGGGATGAGAACCAGCTGCCTCTGCTTGCAACCAGTAACACCCACAATTAAGAATGGAACTCATTTATTCTGGTAAATCAGAAAAAAAATCACACTAGTATCATGTAAGCATAATCAGCTTAAGGGGGGTATGCAGAATCAGACTACCAACCTTTTCTGTTGGGATTTAAAACCTGACTTTGGCAGATGCCATTGCCTGGGTCACAAAGCAGACAGGACACACAGCTGAGGAGTAGAGTCCATGAATGCTCTTCAGAAAGCCTGGCACTTCAAGAGCACAGCAGTTACACTACACAGTAAAGCAAAGCAGCTCCAGACATAAATCATGGTTGTTAGTGTGTGTACTGGGACTTGTGGCGTGAGATACAGAAGTGGTCTGAAGTTAGACTGTCTGAGAGCACAGAAATCCCTGAGAAACTGCCAGTGGTTCCGTCCTTTTCATGCTCTGGAGGAGTATCTGACAGGAATATCAGGGATTTATTGTGTTTGGCTCTGGGTAACACAGAGCTGAAGTTACTGCTGGCTCTGGTTTTGATTTCTAACACTGCAGCAAACTGCAGGTAGAAACATTTTTTCTCATATTGGCTCACAGGACCTGATCCTCTCATCCACGCAAAGTACTTTTGCAGGACAGTCTCTCCTGCTTCATGTCCTGCAGTGCAAAAGGAGACCCCCAGCTCCACTGCCTTTTGTGCTGCCCTCTGCAGCAGCCAAATATTTTAGTAGAGATGAGAAGGAGCATTTCTTAGAGGTGGCAAATAATGCATAACTAATCCATTGGCCCCTAAAAGTAGGACTAAAGGTCATAGTCACAATACACCCAGTCAAACGCCAATGGTGTAAATTTGCAGTGATACTGAGTAACTACAACTGCTGTAGGTTTAGAGCAGAAAAAAAAAATCAGAGTTATACAGAGGCAGTTGTACTGAGAGAGAGCTGAGAAGCTCTCTGGTGTCTCCTCCTTACCCTGACATGATAAACTATCCTTACGCTATTCAACAGAGCCTCTTATTAATGCTGCACAACTTAATGTTATGTTAAGTCAAAGGTAAAAATATAGTCACAGAACTGTCTATTAAAACTACAAGTTCTGAAGTAGAAATTTATGACAAATAAAATAAAGAGATAAAGGAATGTGAATATTGCTTATGAAGAGAACTTGGAGAATGAGAAAGACGCCAAGGGACAATGCTGTCAGCACTGATCCTGCTGTGGCACAGTCCTACCAGATGCCTTAAAAGCCTCTCATCTGTGCCCTGTTCACAGGCACCTTGGCAAGAAGCTACCAGCCAGGATGTGTTGTCTCCATGTGCCATTTCTAGGGCCTGCCAACTGGAGAGTCTGTGGCACTATCTGCAGCCAGAGAGGAGTGGGTAGAGGGTGCACTGACTCCAGCTCTCACAAGGACTGGCTCAACGGATATTTGATAATGTCTTTCTTAATTTTGCCTTTCTGTTTTTAATTTTTTACACGGTATGTTATAGCATGGTCTGGCTAATTGTTGCTCCTACATCTCAGGGAAGTCTGATCTCAAGGATGCTTGGAGGGCTGAGGGAGGAGGTTGGCTCTGTGTCCCTCCACTTCCCATTACCCATTCTTGTGTCTCTACCCCTGCCTGCTGCAGGGAAGTGATGGGCCTTGGGGCATCCTGCAGCTTTCTCCTCCTCCTTCCTTCCTAGCTCCCATCTAGGATGGGGTTTTTTCCCATCAGGGGCTTGGTTTTCTTCTCCCACGTGAAAGGGTAACCAGGAAAGGAAAACAGCAAATTTGGATCCGACAAGGATACGTGGGGGATAAGTAGTTAAGCAGCATCTGATAGCCACAAAAAAAGCTTTGTCCCCATCAAACGCTGCAGAGATATCACAGAACAGGCTTACCTCTCCAGGCAGGAAATATCCATGCGACTCCTCGCTACAAGGGCCAGGCAGAGATCTTCTGGCTGGGAGGTGCCTGGGGCACCTGCTTTGTCCTCAGTGTCCCTGGGTGTTGTTGGGACTCTTCTTCTCACTGTTTTGCTGGGCTGTTGGCTTCTCACCCCTACATGTTCCCTTGGGGATTTGTTGGGGTTCTGTTGGGGTTCTATTTGGATTCTGTGGGGATTCTGTTGCCATAGTTCCCACATTGCCATGCCACATTTCTCAGTCAAGGAGGTGAGGGCTCCTGCCAGCTTGCAGCCCTTCCTGGATATTTTGGTGGGCTGTGGGAGATTGGCCAGGACTGGGGGATGGAGGGGACAGGGACATGCAGTGGTAGAGGATGTGAGATCACATCCAGAGATGTCACGCCTGCCTGGCATGCTGGAAGTGGGATGCCAGCCTGTGAGCTTGTCTGGAGGAAGAATCATACTGCTTGTGCCTGAGGCACCTGCCCTGGCAAGCCCCGAGGGGAGGTGTGTGAAGTGCCCTTCTGTGCTTCTCCAAAAGGAGAGCCTGGGTATCTCATCATCTATGTCATAGTGGACAAGTTCCACCCAAGTGTTCCTTGCTGTTCATTTTTGCTGTGCGCTGCATCTTGAGCTTTTTCTGGCATGAGCTGCTCCCATGGGCCACAGCACACCAACACCCTCACCCCATCCATCTGCCAGTGCTGGGGCATGGAGTGGGTCAGTGACCCCTGCTGTCCCCAAAAGGGCTCTTCAACTTGTTTGGTGTAGGTCTTCTGTGTATGTGCCTTGTTTTTCTACCATCCAGAGGTGAAATAAGGTTGCTGCTTATTCTGGCAGCTGAGTGTCTGAGCTGAAGGCTTAGGAAAGTTGCAAAGGCTAATGACTTGGGCAAAAACTGCTTCTACATTTCTTTCAGAGATTTTTTGAAAGGAAAGAAAACCAGGTTTAAAGGGAATGTTTGCCTGAGTCCAGCTGTGAGATGTACTTATGCTGTCAGGAAGTTGTGGCTCCATCACTGCTTCTTCCAGCTGTGCTTTACCCTCTGCAGTCAGTCCCTTTAAGTCCCTCTATCAGACCCTGTGGGGTATTTTCCACTCTGGTGGCTGTGTTCATTGTGGACCCAGGGGTTGGCCTCGCAAGACTCAGAGAGAGGAATTTTCCTTGTGCTCAGCAGTGTTTTGGTGTTTTAAAAATGTTTTAAGAGAACAAATGAAAATGGGTGGAACAAAAAACCACATGACCAGGTCAGTGGTCCCACAGCTGGGCTGCCTGCTGGGCCCTCTGCTTTCTGTGTCCTTCAGCTCAACACTGCAGCCCAATTTTCCTCTTCGTTGGACAAGACATTAAAATTAAGCCAAAATACCAATGAGTTTGATGTGTGGTCCTAGAAGTAACAATTGATCTGGTGAGACTGGAGGAGTTTTCCTCCTCCTGGATCCTGCTGCAAAGGGTGGAGAGAAAACACCAGATTATGGTCAAAGATGATGTCTGGGGCCAGGGGCAGTGCTCACCTCCTACTCGGAGAGTTGTAATGTCAATGTTCACCTTGTGTCCCAAATATTTCCTTAAGAGCAGGGAAGTTTCTTATGCAATGGTACTGTCATACATGGGCTGGGCCACAGATTCCCACTGCAAAACAAGGAGTGGTTTTGTGGAGGCAGGGGACATTCCCTAATATGCAGTTATTTAAATCAAAATCATTTATTTTACAAAACATACCTCTAATACCCTATAGATTTTATAATTCACTTTAATTTCTCACCAGGAAAAAGTCAATTCCTGCATGGGAGGGAAGCCAGAGGTAAGAATACTTTAGTCTGCTCAGCAAAGAGGGACCTATTTTTAATCCAAATGCCCTCTGTTAGCTCTTGCCTATTTAGTGTAAAACCAGGATTTACTACATGTACAACTTAATACCCTTTTTATATTTGCATAGAGATCCTGCAGTATATGTATGAACAGTTTTTGAGATAAGAGAGGGAAGGCCTTGGGAGTCAAAGTCATTGTTTTTCATGAAGTATTTAATGCTAAACATAAATATTGAGAGAACTGAATTCCCGTGCACTTGCAGACTTCACTCTTGTGCTCCTGAGGATTTTCACTTTATATCCAATTATTAAGAGCCTGGTTGTAAGTGAATGTAGAAAAATTACAGGAAGCCTTTACAGGTACTTACAGGGCTTCATTTTCCTGTTGAAAGGAGAGACAGGTTCTAGACAAAACAGAAGCAAAGGTGGTACTTCTCATCTCCCTCAAAAGAGTGTGCCTAAGGAGGGAATGTGCCAGGCAGCAGAAATCAAGCCCTAGGGAAGAGACTTCCTCCAGTGGTGACCTCGAAGAGGATTGAAGTTGGAGTTCCTGTGGCGCACATTCATCAACTCTGCTCATTGTAATTCCCATGATTTACGTTCTCACAATCGTGATTAGGTGGTGAAAAAAATTATCTACATGCAGGGTTGACTTTAGAAAGTGACATTCTTTGTCCAAATCCAATCAAGCCCCACAGCATGCGGTCCTTTGGATTTAGCATTAATTTTAATATGTGTGTCCCTGAAAATAACCCTCCTGGCTTTGGAAACCTCAGAGATGAAGAGACTCTTGGGCAAGTACTAGGCAGAAAATTATGTCTGAGAGCTGTCATTGCTTTCTCCAAAGGCAATTGTACTGTAGTGAAGAATGGGATGCACTGGCATTGAATTAATTTTTAAAATGTAGTCAGAGACAACTTGGTGGAGAAATTTACTTCTCCAGACATAAAATGGGGTCCAAAGGAACTCCACCACAATTCTTTGTGGAGTTGCTGTTATCTCAACAGTGCAATGCAGTGAGCAGCAGATTTTTGCCCTACTGTAGGCAGCGTAATCAGATTAATATTTGCTTTTTTGCTTCTAATGACTTTGATAAGACTGACAAAATATCTCTACCTTTAGATCTAAAATCCCTCATGCATTTGATGTTGTTGTGACTTTAACAGGCCAAGGTTTTACACTGAAGCCTTCTTGTTGCTGCTTCTCAAAGCTTTCCAAGATAGTCAAGTAACAGTGTGATTTTTGCCTGCTGACATGCTTGGGCTCCTCTTTTCAAGTTGAAGATCAGAAACCAGCAAACTGCATGGACAAAATAAAAAACAGGGTAAAATAGGAGTGTAAATCCCTATGCAGCATCTCTCCATCATGCCTTTCTACATCATCTTGCTGTATCAAACTTCAAAAGCAAATCTTGCCTAATGAGCAAGAACAGTCTGTGGCCAGTCATCCAGGCAAATGGCTCATGGGTACAGGGCAGGAGGAAACCAGAAGAAATCTGTTACTTAACTATTGGAGTCTGAGAAAATGAGCTCCCCCCCAAAACTTGTGTGGGTTCAATCAGACAGATAAATGAGCGAGAACATTTTTATTAACATGCTACATACCTAATAACATTTTTGAAACCATTAGCCAGCCACACTACACCAGTGGCAGCTTCCCTATGCTGAGTGGTTCTCCCACCCTCCAATTTTTCTCCTATGAACAGAAAGCTGTAGTGCTGATTGCAAAGGACAGATACCTAATTATAGGCTTGTTATTAGCAGAGTCTGGGAAATCAAAAGTCTGCAGTTCATATCATGTAGAGAATGATGAAGCATCTCAAATCACTAATGTGATTCAAAGTAGTCTCAGAATCTGCACATTTATTTTCCCCATCAAATCTATGGGAAAGCCTATTTGCAGTGAGATTTGGAAGGCTTTCCCCTTCCTTTTCTTGACTGTTGCCAAAAGTAAATTTTGAATGTTTTCCTGATATCTTTATCCCATCAGTCTGTCAGTCAGTCCCACAATGTCCTTCATGCAAACCTATCAGGGCACTCTAAGATCTAGTGTTTAATAAATATCTTGGAGGAAAACAATGTTTTCCTCCAACAAAACAACACCTGAAAGATGTGATATCCTGCTGCATGCAAGCACAACCCAGCAAGCTACTGGGGCATGCTGTCTCTTTGCTACTCTTGGAGCACGTTCCTGGCTGATCGCAGCACTGCAGGCTTGTTGTCCTCAGGCGTGGCTGGTGGGCAATGACCTTGGGAAAGGATGGGAGTGGAGCCATCTCCAGTTGGCACACACCTCTGTTCCTGCTAAGAGTCTGCTTTATAGTCACACTTAAACCAGATATATTGTTTAAATTAAAATGAAGAGAGACAGAGAGGAAAGAAAGCATTCAACAGAAAAGATGTGAAGTGAGGGAAAACAGGCACTTCTTACTCTGTTACTGAAGGCTTCATATAAATAACAAGCCATTAAACTTTATGACCAAGTTCTTGGACTAGTAGTTTGGTTGTTTTTATGCTGCAGCTGCCCACACAAGTTTTGAACGGTTTCTGACCCCTCTCCCCTCCTGCATTTTCTTTCCTTCCCCCTGCACAGTTTTGTGAGATATTTGGTCCTTTGAATAAATCACACCTCTTCATTTTTCATGGGCTGGCTGTCAAGTTCATTGTCTGTCTCTTAAAGACAGTCCATCCAGTGGAGCTGATCTCATTTGGTGATGGTGTAAAGCACATCTGAGCTTTTATCTTTCCAGTGCATGTTGCTAGAAATTTCCTGTGCTGGTACTCACTAAATTAGTGAGTGTTGTGTCTTCATGGCTTCAAATACTTGACTCCAAAATCCCTGTTTTCTTACATGTGGTATACATGGAGAGAAAACTTGGTATATCTTCATGATTTTCATCCGGAGGAAAAATATAGAAGGGTAATTTCTGATTCCAGGGTTCCAAATTTTCACAAGAAAAAATATAGATCCTCCAACCCTTCTTCCTTCTCACACCCTCTTTTGGGACTAATATCTTAGACTAGTTCTAAACTTTGAACAAACCCCAGAGGAGACAACTCATAATCAACAGCCAGACACAGAGTCATTAAGTACAAAAGTAAAAGAAAATGAAGACCATGGAGAAAGAAGAATAACAGTACATTTTTGAAATTGGATGAAAGAAACTAGATAGTGATGTGCAAATGCATGAAGGAATACCAGAGCAATTTAATTTAGAAGAATGTGGTAGTTGAACCTACCTAAATATTGCAAATCTTAGTCCTTGTAAGTTTTGGAGAAAACCCAGGGCAGGGTCTCAGAAGAGGAAAAATGTATTCTTGATGTTGCTAATAAACTGGTGACTCTGAATTCTGAAGGAGCTGCAAATGATATAAAGAGTTTACCAGAAAAACTGAATATGGGAAGAAAACTGTGAATAGAGAGAGAGAAAGAGCTATAAAATTACGTTTCAAGGATTCTGGTTCTCTTTGATATAATATGTCAAAATCTAGAAATACCCAGTCATGGGCTGTAAACAGCTTTGACAATCTGATTGATGTGTGCATTAACTGAATTCATGACATAAAATATATGAGCCTTCAAGTGCTTATTTTTCCCCATGAAAATGATTACCATGAGCACTTTGCACAGTGACATGTATGTGAACTTGTACCCGTGATTTCTCAGCCACAGTACAAAAGATGTCAGTATAAGGAAGAGCTGCAATCTCTATAGTTTATTTTAAATGTATTTGCAAATGACAAGGCATTTAAAAGAACTATCTTTTAATAAACTTCTTGCTCCAACCATGTTTTAGCTCTTTTGTTAACTGCATCTGCTTTTCTTTACTTACAAAGTTTTGTAGTGATTCTCTTGTTTGGGGGAAAAAACAAAAGGTTGTGGGATGTCACTTCTCTGGTATTGATGTTTCATATGCATAATGTGGAAGGAATGCTACTTCAGATTTCTGTGGGTGCCCGTGCTTACAGTTCTATGTTCTCCTCACGAAGAACACAGGTATCCCACAGAACAATAGCAGTTTCCCTTGGCACTACCATTCACCTGAATCTCAGAAGCAGTTTCTTTAGCAGGCCTCCCCGGAGATCTGCAGCTCAGCCCTTGCCATCATGCAGGTGTGGCTGTGCATTGGTGGCAGCTGTGCATCAAGGATGATGGGTTTCAACAACGAGGCAAGTAATTTCTGATCTCGTTTGCTCAAGTGCATTTATTGCATCTAAATTTTTGCCTTTAAACAGTACTGCCTGGTGCTTCCCCAGAAGAGAAAACATGGGGGATATGTGTAGATGTAAATGGAGATGGCTGGCTATGGTTTCTAAGGACTCTGTTTTTGGTGGGGTGGAGCTGATGCAAAGAAAAGGAAAAAATCAAAGACAAATAATTAGGCAGATGTCTTATTATTTGCAAGAGATAATCCACTGTCATCAGAAAGATAGTAACTTCTCTGAAGGGTGGGAAGGAGATTTGACCTCTACAAAGAGCCAGAATACAGTAAAAAAAAAAAAATAAACCCCCACCCCTTTTTTTTAACTTCATTTTTCACAAGCTTTATGATCGTTGAAGGCTAGAAGTTAGCAAGGCTGAACCTAGTCAATGAGATTGCAGAGTACAGCAGATAATGGCATCTTTGATCAATCAGGCAAAGCAGATAAAGATGCACTACAAAAACTGGCCTGCGAGTCACAGAAATATCTCTTTTTCTCTCATTCAGCAATTCTTGTGATAAGACTAGGAGAAATTAATCAGCATTGAGGTAGAAGGTGAGGGAGATATGGGCTGATGGCATGTACCTTGTCTGTAAGATGATGGCAGGCTTTGGTTTAGTCATTTCAGATGAGGCTTCCCAGGTCACTGGAGTGCCCCTTTCTGCCTCAGAAAGGTGATGTTGGGATGCTGTCATCTTATTAGTGTCAGGTAGGAATCTTTGCTAGAAGTAGGACGGTCTCCAGGTACCTTGTTAGATATAGAAGATGTGACAATCCCAGCAGCAAATAACACAAAGCATTTCATGGCTCTGGAAAGGCTTGACTGTCTCATAAAAGGAGGGCTGACAGAGATTCAGCAGCCTGAACAACTGCACTTTTCTGTGCAGCTCAAACTTGTGGATAAACATGCAATCAGGCACACTTTTAGAGGAGCAATCATGCAGCTTTCTGCTAACTACTAATGGCAACAGAAACTACTTGCACATTGCTATCTTTCTATTCTAAATACAGGAGCCAGTGTCCTTGGCCTTCATCATTCTGCAATGATACCTGGTCTGTGATCACCTGCAATGCAGTGACAAGCAAAACCAGTAAATCATATTCCTGACATCCTATCTATGCAGAAAGTGACTTTGGTAAGATAGGAAGGGTAACACAAGCACAATGGGTAACCTCAGTGTTTGTGGTATGCAAAACAGCTCTTCAGTTAACGGGCTGGCTACCATATACTGTATGTTTATGTTGTACAGACAGCTTAGATGGATTATGCTTTCTGCCAAAATGCTCAGGTTAAATACCATGTAAAATATTTAATGGGCATTGCATATATCTGCCACTTCATCCCTGCATACAGGTGGAAAGGGAAGAGCTGTCCTTTCCCTAAGCAGAACAGGTTTAGCTTTGCTTCTTATGCAGCCAACTCTGCTCAGACCAAGAGTGCTCACACCTGGTGGTGTCTGCTCAGACAGGGCTGGCAGCTCAGCCACAGAACATGAGCTGGGCAGTAAGAGACACCTTGCAGAAGACACAGTGACACTGTAAATCAGAGATGCAAAGCTTGTGTATATGTGTATATGTGTATATGTGAGTGCCATCATCGGACACCATATCAGAAACCTTGCACATGGGTGGCTGCATTGCTTGAGTGCAGTGGGGAAGAGCTGGTCCAAAAAGGACCCTGGAGGAGAGCCAAGGGCCTGTGCAGGCTGGCAGCACCCAGCTGCTGTGCAGCAGCATGGGCACAGCACCTTACACCTGAGCACAGAGGAAGGGTCACCTTCACCTTCGCTCTTCCCTTCAGCATTTGACTGCAGCTCACTTTTAGCAATGCAGAACATGGTTACAGCTTTTTTTTTGGGGGATTGTCTCTGCCCATCTCATCACACGACTTGCCACACCTAAGCCTTTTACTTGGACTTCGCTTGCTGAATCATTGACATTACTGTAGTGTGAACATCTTTGTGAAATTTGTGCCTTTACCTAGGTGGGATCTGTGCTTTGACTGAGATGTGTGGGTTTTTTACTTCTGGATGGTTTAGAGTGAAACCTCTACAACAAGTAAGGAACAACAATAGTAATAAAAAGCAGTATAATATTTTTAAAGCTCAATAACTCTGCACTTTCTCCTGCTGAGATACACCGTGCTATGAAGCTTATGTCACTAACGGGATTGTTCATTTCAGTGAGGCAAAGCACCAGGGACATTATAATTAATAATGCTTAAAAGGAAACAAGTTATTGTGCTTGGGGCAGAAGGGCAAAAATTGTTCTCTATTATTTTTTGAAGAGTTAATTGGTAGTAGGCAAAGATGTGCTGTGTTGAGCCAGCAGGTGCTGCTTTATGACTACATTAATGTTAATGATATCCTCTGGACACATATGAAGACAGGTTAACCTATTTCTTTCTCATTGCATTTCTCTGGGTGGATGTGTGTTCTGATTCCAGCTATTTTTCAAGTGCCACCGCAGAGCCTTTGGACAGACAGTGACCCTACATTTGCACACAGGTTTGCAGGCAATTTTGGAAAACCAGGTAACTTTTGTAACCTCGATTCATCTCAGGACAGATTTTGCAGTTTAAAGTTGAGGGAAATGGGTAAAAGGGGCTGCTTCACTGGCATAAAATCATTCCTAGGGGTTA